TATTCACAAAAAAATTAGATAAATTACACTAACACCCATTAAAATTTGCTTTTAATATAAATCCTCTCCTCACGTTCTGCAAATGACACTGCACCCTCTATCAGGTCTGTCTCTTAACAAAACTAAACAAAAAATATATAAGCTTATACAAACATCATATTATTCTCTTTCCTTTGTAAGCTTCTCTCACTAATACAAACATCATCTTCTGCATCAACCGTCACATACATGCCACCAACCTTTACCATAATTGTTAGGTTTTATTTTTTGGCAATCCCGTTTGACAAAACTCCTTTCAGTTGTATTTTTTTTCGCACTTTTATTTCAGTGAGGCTATGAGTGTTTAGATGCGAATCCAACCTGAATTATGCCTTTCAGAGAAGTTTGTGATGATAAAGCTTTCAAGATTGCCACTTCGCTGATTATGACGGGGATCGAGCTGCCCGGTCAGCTCGCGGGGGTCCAAGGGGCAGCGCCCTTTGGCGGGTCCGGGGCAGCGCCACGACGGGGTCGAGGGGCAGCGCCCCCGAAGCAAAATGCAAAAATGCATTCAAAGTTGCCTGTTCGATCATGTTTTATTTTTCTAGTTTTTCCAGTTTTGGCCTGTCCGCTCGAGCGGGGAAACGGGCGCTCGAGCGTGGATTGGAAGCACTCAGCATCTCTGCAGTCGCCTGTAAAAATACTGGAAGGTGTGATTTTACGCTCGAGTGGATTATCCTACGCTCGAGCGCAGCTCAGTTTGTTCGCACGCAGTTTTTTGGTCAGTCCGCTCGAGCGGGCTGTGTTGAGCTCGAACGGAGATCGCGGGACAGATTCTATAAATTCGCGTGTTGGGTCAGATTTTTAAGATAACTACTCCAGATCTATTTTTTGGGTTCTAGGGTTTATATCTAGGGATACTTTGGGAGTTTTCTTTGATGTTTTGATTGAGTATTCAACTCATGATCTAAAGAGAGTACATCAAAAGTTTGTTTGTTATACACAAAAGAGAGAGTTATTCTTCAGTTGTGGATTCTGAAGAATTCGAGCCTGAAGCTTTGGTGGAATCCGGAGTGGCTCATCAGAAAGACAATTCCGTGGTGAAGATAGGGTTGGAAGAGGCACATAAAGGTTGGTTCAATTAGGCGTTGTGGATTCGCTAGGTAATTGAGAGTATACCTGTGTAATTCCTTTAATTCTTCTTAGTGGATTGTCTTGTGGCTGTTGCCCGTGGTTTTTTGATCACAGTTGGAGGTGTCCAATTGTGGTTTTTTCAACGTTAAATCGTTGTGTCTTTTTGTCTTGATTGTTTGATTGTTTGATTGGGATTGTTATATTCTGCTTAAAATTGATACATAATCACAAATCAACATCTAGGGAATTTCTAGATTTTTCAATAATGATTCACACTCATCATCTCTCACCCGTCAATACTCATAGACAAATTATTAAACTTATTACCTTCACCACTACCCAAGGCAACACTAGCAGTAATTAGTTTCTTTACACCTACTGAGAAACAAACCAAGAGAGAGAAGATAAGCAAATCATCATCAAATATTCACTCAATTATTGTCTTTGCACCATTCTGATCATCCTTACCAATTTAATTTGCTTCACTTTAAACAATAAATTTAAATTAGTGTTCATGACATCAAAAAAAAGCTACATGGGTTACAATTGAATCAACACAGCCATTAAATATATATATATACACAAATCAAATTTACTTTTTCAAGAGTGGTTAATATGGGTTTCACGATTGACGGTGTGGTGGTGCCCACCAGTGTACCTTCACAATCTCTCAATCTTTTCTTGTCAGTGACCCTAACACTTTCTCGCTAGGATGGCAATTTGAACCCGGTCCGACGGGGACCCGACCCCCCATCCTCGATATGAACGATTTTTTCTCGAAAAATACGTTCGACGGGCCGGGGACGGTATTTAAAATTGAATCCCAGATCAATTTTGGGGCGGGAACGGGGATAGCTATCACAGCCCCAACCCCGCCCCGCCCCCGATTCTCCCCTGAAATGAAATTACCCTCGTACCCCCTTTATTCATTCACATATACATTCCCTCCCCTATCCCTATGTCCTCCGATCTGTCCATTCTCGCACTCACTCTTCTCTCTACTCTCTCACTTACTCCTCTACCCAGTGGCGATCCGAGTGCGATCTCCTCTCTCCAGTGGCGACGGCATCATCTCCTCTCCCCAGTGGCGACGGCGAATGCGATCTCCTCTCCCCAGTAGTGACGGAGTCAACTCCTCCTCTGCGGCAGTACGCACACCCTCGTCTCCTCTTTCTTTGTCGCCTTCTCCTTCTCATCCTTTGCGTCACTGCCGAACCTTCATACTTCCGCTTCGGTTCCAACCACGACAGATCTGGGCAGATCTGAGTAGATCCCATCTCCTCCGCACCACCGCAGATCTTACATCTCAGATTTGAGAAGATCAGATCCCGCCATTTTTGTATATACATGTATGTGTGTGTCACTGTGTGTAATCTGTAATTTGTCTCCATATTATTATTATTATTATTTTTTCTTTGTATTTGATGATGTTGCCGTTTGATGATAAAAATTGGGTTGATGATTTATTATTGAGAGTGAGAGAAAGCTAAACAGAGAGAGAAGGGAGCTACGGGGATTTTTCGAGGTCAGGGAAACCTGATCCCCGTTGGGGGCGGGGGTGGGATGGGTTCCCCATCGGGGATCGGGGACGGGGACGGGGAGTTTTGTAGCTTCTGGGATCGGGGACGAGGAGTGCGATCCCTGGCCCCGCCCTGCCCCATTGCCATTCCTATTCCTCGCCATTCCAGCGACCTTCCACCTTCCTCCGTGAGCGAATAACCCCCACTCCTATTCCATCGCTGACCACCCCTACCAACAACCCATCTATCTTCATCATTTCTTAACTCCAGTCCATCGCTGACCACCTTCATTATTTTTCCACAATGTAAATCAAACCCCAATATAGATCTAACACAAGCCTCCAAATTAGCGGTGTTTACCTAGTGTCTTTGTACAATGATGTCAATAGTGGGTCGAAGATGTGTAGATGTGTACATCTTATCGCTAGTAATGGTGAAAAGAAGTGGCCAAAGTAGCAGTAGGTAAAGGGAGAAAGAAAAGATGTGATACTTTGCTTGGAGATGATAGTCATGTGGTGAGTTTATAAAACAATTTCTCAACTCAACGAGTGGTAAATTTGGTATTTAAAAATAGTAATTATTGAGGTCTAGCAAAAGTTATTAGCTAACGTTAAGTAACAGCAGAAGGAGTAAGTTGTAATGTGATTGCAAATCACAAGGAGGAAAATGTAATTTTTAAAAGTGAGGGATGCATATAAATTTTAGGGGATGTCATTGTAATTTACCAAAAAAAATTCCAAAAAATTGTGTTGATTTGTCCCCGTTGGACACACGTGTATTCCTCAATGCATCTTTTCATAGGATTATTTTGAGAAGTTAGTTAAAAATTATTTTTTTAATTTTTTTTAAATATATAAAAAATTAAAGAGATGATATTATTTAAAATAATTAAAGGTGAAACATTTCCAAATTAGGCGATAGTAAAATATTCATTCACCGAAAATTTTAAGGGTAAATTACACTGACCTCCCTTGAGGTTTGCCTTAATTACACAGACCTCTCCTGTAATTTCAAAACTTACACTGACCTCTCTTACTTTTGAAACTAATATACAAAGACCCCATTCCCATCAAAAGAGCATTAACGACATTAACTTGACATTGAAATTGACCATAATTCCCTTCAATCCATTGTCTTTCCCAAAGACCTAACACATTCTATCTCATCAACATCTTTCTCTCTCTACTACCCATTTCTGCCATTGTCTTCCTCACACTCTCTTCCCAAGCCTCTCTAATCAAAAACCCAAAACCCAAACCAACAATAACCCGATCAAACACATACATATGTAAAGTGATTCAAGGGTTTAAGCAAGGAAACAAGAGTTTACTCAATCACAATTGTTCTGTGCTTGGCAAGAATATATCTAACCCAAGTCAAATTAGGTGCAAAGTTTCAAGACTATAACAAATCAAGATTGAAGTTCTAGTTGACAAGAGATCTGTTCGTAATCTAATCGAGAACTCTACCGCTCTCTCGTCTCCTTGAGCCTCACATCTTTTCCTCATCGCATCGCCACCATCATACTCAACCACCACTACGATCTCTTTGTTTCTCTTTCACTTTTTCTGCAATCGTTGCAATCACCATGATCATCATCGTGATTTGCTATCACTGTAACCCTCGCGATTAGATTGCGACCACCGCGATACCAAGCCGCTCATATCTAGGATTTTTGGTGGTGGTGGCGCAGATGGATGAGCTGAGAGAGAGACAAAGCAGTTCGGTATGGTGGCGGTGGCACTGGGCGGAGGTTTTGGAAAGGGAGGCGTTGGGGCAACGGAGGACGATAGGGAGAAAAAGGCAGAGCACACAAAGAGAGTGAGAGGAAGTGAGAGAGAAAGAGTGAGTATAGTGATATATATATATATATATATATATATATATATATATGGGGGAGGTAAGGGCAGTATTAGAATTTGAACAATAATTTTGAATAATATCAATCAAATCTATTTGAATTTGGAAGGATGGGTAACAAAATGGGGTATATATACATTAGTTTCAAAAGTAAGGGAGTTATATATAATTTTTGAAATTACAAAAAAAATCTCTATAATTAAAGTAAACCTCGTGAGTGGTCAGTAATTTATTCACAATTTTAAAAAAAATCTCACTAAAATGATCAGGTTGCCCTCCATCCCAAATCCTCGCTGATCCCATAACAGTATCAGTATGACTCTGCTCACCCTCCACGTCACCATACATCCAGCATCTATACCCTTAACAGACGGTCCAGATCTAATTTAACATGTCCCCCCCGGTCTCACTGTTTTGTCATTTTCATCCACACCATATAAAAGTCCTAGTCCAAGATGGGCACTGCTCCACTAATCAAACCTGTAAATATAAATAACCCCTCCCACCTCTCCCTCTTTTCTCCTCCCTTTCCACCTTCAATCCAGAAGAGTCTCTCTCTCTCTCTCTCTGCATACCCCCTCCTCCCAAAAGAAAAACAAAAATGAATAGGAATAGGAATGGCCATGGTGGTGGACCCGGACCCGGGGAGGGATCCGGGGCAGAGCTCTTAATCAACACAGCCGAATACTTCCTCCGGAACCGCAACTTGGACGGTTGCCGGAAATATGCAGTCCAAGCCCAAGAGTCAAACCCTACCGCCGCCGCCCAGATTCTGGCCGTGGTGGACGTCCTGGCTGCTGCCACCACCCGCTTTAACAACAACAACAACAACCGACCCGACTGGTACTCAATTTTGGGAGTGAAACGTTACTCGGAAGACTTACAACTCCTCAGAAACCAGTATAAGAAGCTCATTCTACTCTTAAACCCTAACAAGAACAACTCCCCCTTCGCTCTCGAAGCTTTCGACCTCGTCCGCCATGCTTGGACACTCTTGTCCAACCCTTTAAAGAAGAATCAGTTCGACAATGAGCTTCGAATGTTCTTCGATTCTCAGACCAAAACCAAACAACCACTTGACAAGATGAAGAAGCAGAAGACGAAGACGAAGACGAAGACGGAGAGTAGTAGTAATAGTACTCCTATGGAGGGAGGACAATGTGGCTCAGACTCAGATACATTCTGGACCGTCTGCCCTTACTGTTACTATGTCTATGAGTATGTTAGGGTTTATGAGGATTGTTGTTTGAGGTGCCAGAACCACACCTGTATGAGAGCTTTTCATGCCGTGGCTATTCGGTCTCCACCCCCGCCCGCTGTTGTGAGGAATGGTGAGTACTGGTGTTTGGGGTTTAATCCAATTGGGTTTCAGAATGGAGGAGGAGACAAAGGGAAAGGGTTTTCATCATGGATGCCGTTCACGCCAATGTTCACGGCAACTCCTCATGAGGAGGAGGAGGAGGTGGTGGTGGTCAACAAGAATTCTGTGCCTCCTCAGGGTGGCAATGAATCTAATATAGGCAATAACAGCGATAATTCAAGTGATGATGAACTCTTGGGTAAAACTGAGGAGAATGCTAGTGGTAAGAATTTGCAAACAGAGCAAGTGAAGAAGGGGGTTGAGAGCTTTGATGGGTGTACAAGAAAAACTTATCATCATAGAGAGGTACCTAGCCCTAGCCCTAGCCCTAGCCCTAGTGTTGCGAAGCCAGTGATGAAGAGGAAGAAATCAGTGGCCAGGAATACCAAAAAGATTATGGGCAAAGGGACCAGAATTAAGAAAGATGAGACCATTCCTGAGCACGTGGAAGGATCGGACTGGGATACAGATGATGCCAGTAAAGATTACGAGGATTTTGGTTCTGGGATTGCTGAAGGGATGGAGACGCTAGGAAGTAGTAGGGGTCAATCTGGTACTGGTATGGATGGATTGCAGTTTTTTGATGGAGAGGATGATGATATCTTTGTGGGTCTGCAAGATGGTTTCTTCTGATGTGGGAAATCCAAGGGTAAGGGCATCTTAAGATTGGAAATGGATTTTCATCTTTCTTTCCTTCTCGTTCTAGGATTGGATGGTATAGCATATGGCAGCTGAATTTTTTCTTTCACTGGTTGTCTTGAGGTTGAAAAGTAACGCAAACATTACAATATATAGTTATAGATTTGACTGGTTGTGGATGTATAAAATTTTGTAGTTGAGATCTTTTGGATAAAACAAAAATTGACCTTAATGAATATTGTGTATACCACAATAATTGAACAGTATTTGTCACGAGGTGGCAAGGAAGTTATTCTTCAGTGAAAAGTTTACATTAAGTCTGGTATTTCATAGAGATAATCAGTGGAATAGCCTTTGCTCTCTTTTAGATCCTCATCAATTTCAAGGTTTTAGTTTGGCCACTTAAAGGTGTGTCTTAGATCCTATTATTATGAGGCATTTCACATTAGTTGAATTGTTAATGAAGGCATGTTCCAGTGTGAGTCCTCTGTTAAAGCTTTAAATTTGCTTGGGATATTCAATTAGAACTTGTGTACTAGCAATAGACACACAACATGATATGTGCATTATTCAACATATTTTTTCTTGCTCTAGTTTTTTTAGTTATTACTATAGTAATCTCCAATATGATAATCATTAATTTTAATGCAATTGATCTTCTTGCCTACTTGCATAATCACTCAATTTCGTTGAAGAAAATTTTCTCTTATAGCTTTGTTCCATGCATTGCATGATTGTTTTTTTCATATTACAATGTGTTGGAGCATGTTGCAACAGTAAGGTCATCATCCCTCACTGGTGTCCATGCAACTATCAGAAAGTGTGATTAATTACTCAAGTTTGTCTGCTTCGGTAAAAAGAATATACGTGGATTTTTTTGAAAGGGTACAGTAACTTGTAGAATTCTTGTAATTTTAGCACGTAAAGATGTACAAGGAGAGTTTCTAATGTTCTTGAGAGTGGATAGCTAATGTAATGGTTGTTCCTTTAATGTGGTTGCTTTCATTGCATTAATTTTGATCTTTTAAAGCTTTTCTTTGCTTGATATCTTCTTAGTAGCTAAATTGCAGTGTCCCGGGGTTATATCTGCCCAATCACTTGGCTTCACTTTGGTTAGTCTGAGTGAGATATACATTTGGGGTGAATAACCATTGCATACCTCTTTTTATGCTGTTTAACAGCATCTAGGCATTCCATATACTTCATTTATATTCCTGTCCTATAGCATATGTGATTACTATGATTAAATCACAAACTAAAATGCTAGAAGAATACGCATTGTTTTCAAGGCATAAATGCTTAAAGGGCCTAGTTTGCTAATTCATTGCATTGTTGTTTAATATTTATGTTTTAATAGAGCAGAAAGGTGGTTGTCATGAAGCTAATTTAGTAGCTTACATCCAAGTTAGTTTATTTTTATTATTATTTTTTTTCTCTTCTTGTATATATACATGCGTGTGCCTTATTCCGCATGAAGTCCAACATTGGACTCCTCTGTCCTTTGTCTTTGTTGATTCTGTTGAGATTGATTCACTTCCTTCAGACACTTATTCTGCTAATGGTGTGGCATGGTTCCTGGTTAGGTATGAAACTCTGGCTAGTCCACAGAAGGCAGACTCCTGAGATTAATATTTTGAAAATTTTCCAGTTTTTGTCTGTTGTCAACTTGTGTGTGTGTGTGTTGGGTCTAAATTTGTAATCCCTGCATTGCTGAAGCAGCATATGCAGGCATGAAGCAACTATGGATTAGTAGAAGTTGATGCTGAAGAGTTATCACATGTTCCATTGATCTCAAGTACATAGCTCTTTTGTAAGTTGTCCATTCAGTTATGAATTATGTTTCTCTTTCGATTCTAGTACATTTTCGGTATAAGAAACTAAAATTATTTTCGAAACTCACATTTCCACTTATGTCATGACATTTGAGGCCTGCACTTTTTTGTAAGTTATGTACCCTCTAACATGAAGAAAAGCAAGTTCCTAACTATAATTGTGAGCCTGTATTTTGGAAAACAGGAAGCTTTGAGACCTCTTTGATCCCATTATGTGTATGCTCCCATATTTTTGGGGAATAGTCTCATCTAATAACAACAATTCCCTCCATTTCTCAATTTCATATGATCAAATAGAATCTGGTATGCATAATAATCAATTAATATAAGTTCAAATGATGTTCTTTCTATAAGAAGTAAAGGAAAAAATAAATACATAAACAAAATAAAAACAGAAGAAAGATGGAAAACATGCAATTTATTCCTTGTCAAATAAAAAAACAAGGCAACCCAATTTCACGAGGCTCTAGTTAAAGCAGGGTCTTGGGGCAAGGTTAATGACAATCATCCGCCTCGGCATATTTATGAAATTGAAAGCCTCTTACATATTGAAGAGAAATTTATAGAGGGATCTTGTAAACCTTCTCCATTTTTGGTTGCTCCTGAAAATTGAATGAGGGTTATGTCGTTTAGATGGTGATTTTACTAACAATTGGTTGCATGCGTGTTCCATTGTTTAGGACTTCATTATCCGAAGGTGTGGATTTATTATTTTGTTTATTTGTTTGTTTTTTCTATTTGCTAATGGCAAACATGTTCAAGATTAGATTTTTTTGTTGAGGCATCTGTTATTGGTGTTTTCTCCATGTCAGAAATAGTGGTTCTTCTTTAAACTAAATGTCTGACTGCAGCAATTTTAGAAGGTAATTGTCATTTCTTCTATTCCCATGGGTAATAGGATCTTGTGTTCATTAGGGCTTGTGACTGTTTTGAAGGGAAGCTATTACTTGCTTAAAAAAAGAAAAGAAAATATTGTTTCTGATCAAATAAGAAAAGAAAAACAAAGATTGAAGTGGTTGATGTGTGTGATGGACGTCTGACTGAAGATCTGATAAATTTAGGTGTGTTTTGGAGGGGTCATATTCTTTTGTAGTTGTCATGTCTTCTTTTTCTTTTGCTTCTTTCCATCTTTTCTTGCCAAGCATTGAAGTCTTTTTTCGCATAGCAGTGGTTATATGCATATTCTTAATTTGTATTGTCTTACACACCTTCAAATGTGCTTATCTGTTTTTGGCATGTTAACATGTATCGAAATGTTTTGTCGTACCTATTATTTCCTGACAAACACGACTCCATTTAGTTGCCAGACTCAAAGGACTAGAATATGCAGGGCAAGGACTTGTATGCTATATTTCTCATTAAGACACCGAAATTTAATTTCCGATCTCTTGTGCTATGTATAGTGTGACTTTAATGGGCAACTCTGATGCCTACCTTTTTGTTTATTTATTTTGTTTTTCTTTTCCAGGTACGTAGGAGTGCACTGAATTATGCAAGGCCTCTTGCTAACATCAGTGGAACCAGCTCAGATAAGCTCATTATCCATGTACATGTCCTTTCTTTTTGTCTTTCAGAGTACAATATGTATGCGTTCAAAAAAACAAAAAAGAGTACAATATGTATGACGAACTTGTGAAATCAATGAGTCACGCTCCAAGAAAAACATGTTAAGGAGCCTATTAGAAGTGCTAATCTTGAAAAAAAATATATACAGAAAAAAAGAAACGTAAAGATGGGCCTTTTGTGAGTTTTCTGTATGTCATGGTTGACTTTATGTTTGGATAGCTTGACAGGTTTGTGTTTTCGCATTTCCACATGAAGATTGGGTTGCACGCTAGGGAGAGTGTTGGATAGTTTTATACATTTTTGGATTCATTTTCTAATGGCTTAAGCCATTAGAGTTATTGTTGACTTAACATTTAGGTTCTAAATCAGGTTACTTATTCTAATCCTGAGATATTAACTAATTTCAGGGAAATAGAAACAATCAAGTCATAGGTTTGCATTAAATTTATGGGAAAGACTATGATTGGACCATACGCATTCTAAAACTAAAAAAAAAATGATATAATTTCATACTTTCTAAGTCATAACTAAAAAAAAAAAGTCATGGCAAAACATTGCACGAGACTTAACTAAAGATCTCATGAGTCATAACTAAAATAATATGATAAAAAAGAAAAGAAAATTAGTTATAACTAAAGAAGAAAATGACGTAATTAGAGGTGCATATACACTCCTTTCAAGGGATGTGCATAGTAACATTTCTCTAAATTTATTGGTGCTCCCAACAAAATTTGGAGTTTTAAGTGCTCATTTTGTTAGAGGCTCCCATTGAAGGACCCCATTTTTACATTATTTAAATTTAGCACATGATATAGCACAATGTTATTTTAGCACAACATATATTACACTATGAAGAGTGAATTTTTTTATGTTGTAATGTGCTATTTTCGCTAGTACACCTGAATATTACACCAGAGTCGCTCTTCGGACACTTACACAACGGGAAACCATAAAAAAAGTATAGTAAGAACAGTTTGCAAGTTGGGCACTATTTTTCAGTTTTGATGGCTGAAGGGTTGCATTTGAAAGCTTCAGCATGAAGTCCTAACAAATTCTTGGGCATAGCTAGACTACAAAATCCTCACTGTTGTACTTACTATGAAATTTGACATGGCTTGGTGACTTAGCTACATTTATTCAATTGAGAATTAGAAATGGTTAAATGATACCTTGGTGTGTTTGATTTGGGCAAGGTTAATGACAATCATCCGCCTCGGCATATTTATGAAATTGAAAGCCTCTTACATATTGAAGAGAAATTTATAGAGGGATCTTGTAAACCTTCTCCATTTTTGGTTGCTCCTGAAAATTGAATGAGGGTTATGTCGTTTAGATGGTGATTTTACTAACAATTGGTTGCATGCGTGTTCCATTGTTTAGGACTTCATTATCCGAAGGTGTGGATTTATTATTTTGTTTATTTGTTTGTTTTTTCTATTTGCTAATGGCAAACATGTTCAAGATTAGATTTTTTTGTTGAGGCATCTGTTATTGGTGTTTTCTCCATGTCAGAAATAGTGGTTCTTCTTTAAACTAAATGTCTGACTGCAGCAATTTTAGAAGGTAATTGTCATTTCTTCTATTCCCATGGGTAATAGGATCTTGTGTTCATTAGGGCTTGTGACTGTTTTGAAGGGAAGCTATTACTTGCTTAAAAAAAGAAAAGAAAATATTGTTTCTGATCAAATAAGAAAAGAAAAACAAAGATTGAAGTGGTTGATGTGTGTGATGGATGTCTGACTGAAGATCTGATAAATTTAGGTGTGTTTTGGAGGGGTCATATTCTTTTGTAGTTGTCATGTCTTCTTCTAAGAGCTTTATTCCATCCAACCCATATTCTTTTTTACTATTCCATTAGGTCCTATTTGAGATAAGAAGACCAAAATACCCTTTTCATTTACTTATGTTCCATTTAGTTTACATTATTTTCTTATGTTTCAATAAGTCCTATGGGTGACAGAATTATCAAAATACCCCTAATGTGAATGTTCACACCGTCAATGTGAAAGTTTATATCGTCAATGTGTAGGGGACCGGCCCATGTCGATCCTCGTGGGTGCCCGGAAAAATTCAAGTCGGGCCGGGTCGGCCCACGGGCCAAAAAATTAGGCCTGACTCGTTGATAATGTGAATATTCACATTAACATGTTATCATTCACATTGATAAGAGTGTAAAATTGACTCGCGTCCCATGGGCGGCCGAAAGCCCGTGGGTGGCCCGAGACGAGCCCGGTCCGGCCCGTTGACAATGTGAATATTCACATTGACATGTTAACATTCACATTGATAGGAGTGTAAAATTGACACCCGGCCCGTAGGCGGCTCAAAGACCACCCGCTGCCCGGGGCGGGCCCGGCCCGTTGACAACGTGAATATTCACACTGACATATTAACATTCACATTGATAGGAGTGTAAAATTGGCCCGCGGCCCGTAGACGACTTGAAGCCCGGCCGCGGCTCGAGGCGGGCTTGGCCCGGCTTGTGACAATGTGAATATTCACATCGACATGTTAGCATTAACATTGATAAGAGTGTAAAATTGGCTCGTGACCCGTGGGCAGCCCGAGGCTCGGCCCTAGGCCGGGGCGGGCCCGGCCTGTTGACAATGTGAATATTCACATTGACATATTAACATTTACATTGATAAGAGTGTAAAATTAGCCTTCAACCTGTGGGCGGCTCGAAACCTGCCCACGGCTGTTGGGCTGCCTTGGGCGGGCTCGGCCCGACCCGTTGATAATGTGAATATTCACATTGACATGTTAACATTCACATTGATAAGAGTGTAAAATTGACTCGCGTCCCATGGACGGCCTGGGATGAGCCCGGCCCGGCTCGTTGATAATGTGAATATTCACATTCACATGTTAACATTCACATTGATAGGAGTGTAAAATTGATCCGCGGCCCGTGGGCGGCCCGAAGCCCGCCCGTTGCCCGGGGTGGGCCCGACCCGACCCGTTGACAATGTGAATATTCACATTGACATATTAACATTCACATTGATAGGAGTGTAACATTGGCTCGCCCCGTGGCTGCCCAAAACCCGCCCACGGCCCGTAGGCAGCCCGGGACGGGCCCCGGCCCGGCCTATGACAATGTGAATATTCACATTGACATGTTAACATTAACATTGATAAGAGTGTAAAATTGGCCCGCGGCCCGTAGACGACCCGAAACCTGGTCACGGCTCAGGAAGGGCTCGATCCGGCTTATGACAATGTGAATATTCACATTGACATGTTAACATTAATATTGATAAGAGTGTAAAATTGGCCCGCAGTCCGGAGTAGGTTCGACCTGTTGACAATGTGAATATTTACATTAACATGTTAATATTCACATTGATAGGACTGTAAAATTGGCCTGCGGCCTGAGACAGGCTCGTTTGGGCCCGGGCCCGAGCCCAGCCCGAGACCTTAGGCTAGGGCCTGGGCCATCACTTTGAAGCTCGGCTCGCTAAGAAAAAGGATTTTATGGGATAAAACTATAGGTGGGCTTGGGCGTAGCCTCGAGCTTAGGTCGGGCTTGGGCGGGCCTGACTATTTTTTTTTAGTTCTTTTTAATTTTTTCTACCAAAATTTTATTATTTTTCACAAAAAAAGACATTGCGCCTCGGATCGAGCCTTGAATGGGCCTTAAGGGAGCTGATGGGCCGGGCCGGGCCGGGCTTCAAAGTGATGGCCTAGGCCCTAGCCTAGGGTCTCGGACATGCTTGCGGCCGGACCCAAACGAGCTTGTCTGGGCTGTGGGCGGGCTTCGGGCAGCCCACGGGTTGCGGGCCAAATCTACATTCCTATCAATGTACATGTTAACTTGTCAATGTGAATATTCACATTGTCAACGGGCTAGGCCGGGCCTACCCCGGGCCGCAGGTGAGCTTCGGGCAACGGGCAAATTTTACACTCCTATCAATGTTAATGTTAACATGTCAATGTGAATATTCACATTGTCACGGGTTAGGCCAAGCCCTCCTCGGGCTGCAATCGGGCTTCGGGCCGCCCACGGGCTGCGGGCCAATTTTACACTCTTATCAATGTGAATGTTAACATGTTAATGTGAATATTTACATTGTCAACGGGCCGGGTTGGGCTCGCCCTGAGCCGCTGGCCAATTTTATACTCTTATCAATGTGAATGTTAGCATGTCAATGTGAATATTCACATTGTCAACAGACCGGACCGGGCACGCCCTGGGGCACCCACGGGCCGTGGGCGGGCATCGGACAGCCACGGGGCGCGGGCTAATTTTACACTCCTATCAATGTGAATGTTAACATGTCAATGTGAATATTCACATTGTCAACGGGTCGGGTCGGGCCTGCATCGGGCCGCGGGCGGGCTTTTGGCCGTCCATGGGTTGCGGGTCAATTTTATACTCTTATCAATGTGAATGTTAACATGTCAATGTGAATGTTCACATTGTCAATGGGTCGGACCGGGCCCATCCCGGGCCGTCCATGGGCCGCGGGCGGGTTTCGCGCCGCCACGGGACGTGGGCCAAGTTTACACTTCTATTAATGTGAATGTTAACACGTCAATGTGAATATTCACATTGTCTCGGACATGCTCGGGCCCGGATCCAAACGAGCCTACCCCGGGCCATGGGCGGGCTTCGGGCAGCCCACGGGCCGCGGGCCAATTCTACATTCCTATCAATGTGCATGTTAACATGTCAATGTGAATATTCACATTGTCAACAGGTTGAGCCGGGCCTACCCCGAGCTGTGGGCGAGTTTCGAGCAGCGGGCAAATTTTACACTTCTATCAATGTTAAAGTTAACATGTCAATGTGAATATTTACATTGTCACGGGTCGGGCCAAGCCCGCCTCGGGCTGCGGTCGGGCTTCGGGCCGCCCACGGGCTACGGGCTAGTTTTACACTCTTATCAATGTGAATGTTAACATGTCAATGTGAATATTTACATTTTCAACGGGCCGGGTCGAGCCCGCACTGGGTCGTTGGCCAATTTTATACTCTTATCAATGTGAGTATTAACATGTCAATGTGAATATTCACATTGTCAATAGGCCGGGCCAGGCCCGCCCCGGGCTGCGCACGGGCCGTGGGCGGGTTTCAGGCAGCCACGGGGCACGGGCTAAATTTACACTCCTATCAATGTGAATGCTAACATGTCAATGTGAATATTTACATTGTTAACGGGCCGAGCCGGGCCCGCCCCGGGCCGCG